GCCTTGAGCTGGCAACTCGAGCCCGCCGCGAGCCTACAAGGGTTAATGGCTTGGGTTTACGGAAGCAAAAGAAACCCTAAGGGTCCAAGGACCCGAATAATAGGGTTTTGTGCCCCAAGTACTATGTATTAATGGTATTCGGGCCCTAAAACCGGCCTTTCTCGTGATGAAGCTAGGCCTCTTAAACCGTGATCCTCAAATCCCACGAACAGGGCTTCGGGTGTAGAGCCTGGTGTAGGACAGATTACTCAAGATACGCCTCGCGATAGCCATCTCTAAGCATGTTCAAGCCATGTCTTCAAGCGAGCTATAGTCTAAACTCCTAGTATCGCCCTCCATAACCCCCTATAATACTCCCCTATTGTAATCCCCCATCTATACCCCCTTTAAGGAGTTTAGACTATAGCTCGAGTGAGGGTGCAGGGCAGAGCCGACCCTACCGGATAAAGTAAAGCTGCTTTGTCCTTCCTGAGTCTCAATTGCCGGTGCGCTGCAATACCCACTGCCTCTTGTACGTGGTACATCAACCAGGTAACAATGAACCCCTAAACCCTGAACCCATATCCTAAACCCTATAAACCCTAAACCCCTAAACCCTAAACCCATATCCTAAACCCGAAGCCCAAGATAGGCTCTCCCGCAGAACAACGACGCAGCACCCCGCAGGTGGTGCTCACATACTTGCATTTCTGGAGCATGTGTCAAGGGGCTCAACCTCAAAAGCCTAAATTTTAAACTTCAAACCAAAAGCCCGGAACCCTAAACCCTAAACCCTAAGCCTAAACTCTGGAAGCCTTGAAAATTCCCCAACCCTGTACGCCCCAAACCCCACACCCTACCACCTACTCTGGGTAAACCCGAAAACCTAGACCATCCCCATCCGCCTGACCCTCGGCAAGGTCCTGCTGACGTTGGGATGGGACGCCGGCTTCTTTGGCCTTCTGGTTCATCACCTGCTAGCCCAAAAGGGGTTTGAGGTTTAGGGTTTAGGGTGTAGGGTTTAGGGTTTAGGGTTTGGCCTCTGTTGGGAAAGCCAAACTCAAACTGAGGGTGTAGCATTTAGGGTGGAACATCGGCACGGCTCAAAGCTCTGCAACACCAGCAAAACCGGGACGCCAAGCAGTGCGAGGCCCTAAACTCTAAACCCAAACCCCTACATAATCCCTATAATATAGTAGTTTCCATTTCCTTTTCCATTGTGCCAGTATTACCCCAACATTCCCATACAACCAAACCCTGAACCGCGTTGCTTGGAAGGGCGGCTCCCACTTTTTTGGGTGGGGAGGTGGGGCTACTCTCATACAATACCCCTCGGAGTATGGCCAGGAACTTGAAAAGCTCTGCCCTCCGCCTTTCAAAAAAGGTGGTAATCTTTACGGGGCCATTCGCGTTCCATGCTAGTTTGGGGGGAGTTTGGGGTTTGGAGTTTTGTGTGCTCAGCCCACGACTTGATTGATCCCCGATTCGCGCAAACGCAACGCTACACCCTGCACCCTGGTCCTTGGGATATACAAGGCCCCGACCCTTGCGCAAGCAAAGCGCGCTGATGTTTTGTGCAGACGGACAATGGTAAGTCATAAGCTTTAGCCACAGAAAGCCCAAAGTCTCTCGAAAGTTTAAGGTTTAGGGTTTGGGGATCTCAATTTCCAAGGGAGCAAAACCACGCCAAATGCTAGGATACTTCTTGGAAATCCATCTTGTAGCCTTCATTCAACCTTCCTGCTCCCCCCTCAAGCACTCTGAGGCCCACAAATCAACCCGACTAATGCTTCTCTTCTCCCTAAACCCGAAACCCCTAAACCTAATCTCCACATCCCATAGGCCTGATCCCCTCGCGCAGCCGCAAGGCCTCCAAACTCCCAAAGAAGAGAGTTAGGTTAATGTTTAGGGTTTAGGGTTTAGGGCACCCCCAAAAGTAAGTACAATAATGTCCTGAAACCCATCTAAAACAGCCAAGAGTCCATTATTCGACCTACTTATGCAGTTTCAGGTAATTGCTGGCAGTGGAGTAGGGGATGAAACATGATGGGTCATAAGGATAATGAAAAGGGTAAAGAATAGGACTACCGTGCCATAGGGATCCATTCCCCCATTCCTTACCGAACCCTGGGGCTCCAAATAACCCTATGTAGGTAATATTTGTAGACTTGGGGCCTAATGTAGGTATTCTAAACATAGAGCCCCAGAAAACATAAGAGAAGACTACAAATGTCATTTTTCTGAACTGACACAAGATCGCTGGCGTCACAGATCCGTTTCAGACCGCCCTAACTTGACGGACCGCTGTAACGAGGCCTAGAAGAAGCATGGGAGGGTTTTTAGTAATCCCACCCCCCAAAATTGGGAAACCTATAGCCATGATAAAACTATCATGGCGCTATCACAGGGCCCTACTTTGGGGGTCTTCTAAAGCTTCGTGCTATCGAATATGAGATGACTCCTCAGCCTTTGTGCTACGGGTGGTTTGTCGGAAATGGACGAATGCCGGCTGGTACCCAACTTCCAATAATCAACATAAACAATTCCGCAATTCCCGGCTATAAGCACCAGCAGACTAGCCGTTGACCCTCCACCTACCCTCTACTATACTTTGAATACCCACGATTAGGGACCTTCTGCCTTGAGTACTGCCCACACTGGGTGGGGGCAAGGCTCACCTTTATACCCCTCTTTGAGGGTACGAGGAAGCTCCTGGTCAAGATTCTCTTGAGATTCGCGAGGCCTGCAGTCTATCCAGGAGCTGTGGGCTCTACGGAGTTGCTAAATAAAAAAGGGTTCAGGGTTCAGGGTTTTTTGCTACCACTTGGGCCTGCCGAAAAGACAGAAAAACTATACATGTGCAGTCACCTAAATGTCGGAACAACCCCTTCCTACGCTTGCCGAACCTCACGCTGTGCATGTACACAAGTTCGTTCTTTCTGGGCCGTCTTGGGACGCAATCTACTCTCGAGCCAGAGGGTCTTGATACCCAAGCCCTGAGGTACAGGTCCTTCAAATGGATCAAACCCTGACAGCGGCTAAGCCCATAAACCCTAAACCCCATGAGCCATAGTCTAAACTCCTAGTATCTATCCCCCTTACCCCCTTAAGGAGTTAAGACTATAGCTCATAATATGAAGCCCTAACCCATAAACAAAGAAACCCTACACCATACTGTGTTGCGGCCGGCGGGCTCTCTTGCTGAGCAGCATCTTCCCTTGGCGCGAATGCTGCGGTACACTCATGACTCGTTCAAACTACAAGGAGCCTCCTTGTACCCTTAGATAGGGTCAAATGGTCCCAAATATTGGGTTCGTATTGGGGTTTAGGCTTTGGGGCTTGGGATCTTAGATTAAGCGCAAAGGATGTAGGATGTCATTTGTAGGGTTTGAGGGAACCCTTATGATTCACTGCTCTCCCCTTTGCCAGGAAAGTGCAGCGAGAGGCAACGCTTGCTCATTCCGCGTGGAGCAAGAATGTGGGGTATGTAGCCATTGTAGAGTTTAGGAAGTTTAGTCCAATCCAATCCAACCTGTAACGCATTTGGTCTCTACATGTCCTATTGCACCCCGATGGACAAACATCTGGTGGTACGTCAAGTCAACTGATCTAGAGCCACCACTTAATCAGAGCGTCCACTGTATAGAGCATACCGCATAAGCATAGTAGCGGGGGCGCAGGGTTCCCGCACTCCCAGCACTTGCTGGAGAGATCAGGAAAGCTGCTGCAATCGCTGAGAAGCCCTTGCTGTCGATTTAAAGCCCTAGGGGTCTTAAAAGGCCAGCCAAAGTAAGTACCATTTGCAGGCTTAGGGCCAGTGGGTGATATTTCTACGCTTGGTCCCCTCGCAAGGTAATTGGACATTTGCTGGCAAGGATGGTTACGTCAAAATCTGTCAACCACATCAACCTTTCCCTAAACCCTGAATTGCAAACCGGAAGTCCTAGATCCTAAGCACGAGGTTCTAATCCAAAAGCCCTAACCAAGAAACCTAAATGCAAAACCTGGTGCCGTTTAGAACATACATCGCTGGGGCTGTGCGAAGAGCTAGAACCCTGAATCGCACGTCGTAGGGTTTAGGCTTTGGGAATTGTTTAGTCTCTTTTTACCTTAAGCTCAAAGCCTAAACCCTAAAGCTTGTTTTCAGCTATCCCTCCAACTGTCCAATCGCGACCTGAGCAAGCAACATTTTCACGCTGCTCCCGTTTTCCAGAACAAGGTCAGGCTTTCAAGTACGAAGGCTCTGCATACAAGAGCCGCCGCAAAGGAACCTAACTTTAGGGGGGTTTTAGGGTGTGGGGTACCCTAACCCCCATACTGCTGCAGATCATAAGAAGGAGTGGCAAGGGAAGCAATAGCGCGGATGGGAATCGTGGAGGTGATAGCACTGAGAAACAAACAATTGCAAGCACCAAGCCCGCGTCGGAATGATTGCAATACAAGCTGGGAGTTTGAGGTTGAATACCTGCTCATGAATCCCTTAGCTGTCGCAATCATCCCTGTACGCCCTATACCACATACATTGCTCGTGACTAAGCTTGCGTAAGAAAAGCATCGAAACACCACAGAAGCAGAGTACCGGATGGCAGTATGCCAACGAGGTAACATGCAGCAACTGGTAGCAAAAAAAAGTGCCTGGGGTAGCAGTAGAAGTTCGACTACAAGTAGGAGCAGATACAATTTAATGCGCTTTCGTTGACAGACGCAGGCATTCTGTCAAGCTCACTGCTGAATGTTCATCGCAATTGGGCTCTCCACACTTAAGCCCCACTTGTAGGTACGCATATTCACCAACGGAAGCGTCATCAAAACGCAATCAGTATCATTACATTCCACAGGACATCATCTGGCTGCGGCTTTTGCGTTCCCTGCCTAGCCAGGGTCAGGGTTCCGGGCTTAAAGCACGATACCTTTCGCACAAACTTACCCAAACCTGCGCCTACACACTATAAGCTTCAAATCATTTCTGTCAACCGTCCGCCGACGTCGTTTTAGGGCTAATGGTGTAGGAGTGTAAGGGTTTAGGACGTATGGTTGAGGGCTTGGTGCCGCAAAGCCATCATCGTGCTGTTCAGGAGGCCTTGCTGACACTCAGCTGGCAAGTCGTACCTTAGCTGTGCAGGCACTGTAGTGTGTGAAGACCCCAAGAGTTTATGGTTTGGGGTTAGAGTTGAGGGATTAGAGTTTAGAGTTTACGGTATAGGTTTAGGGATTTATTTCGAAGGCTCGAGCTTAGCATCCGTCGTGAAGGTTATGAACTGGATCATGTTACTGGGGCAGAGGGCTGTGCTCTTATGCATGAAGGTTGTCATCATATAAACTGCAAGAATTCCAAGGCTGGCTTTAGGGGTTAAAGTTCCTGTCCACGCAAAGCAAAACTCTAAAGGTAAGGGTAAGGTTTGGATGCTTCAGCGTCACGAAGTCAACCAGCAGAAGCCAGCAAAGAGCTCTCAAGTATCTGCCCTCGCCCTCCTGCAGCAAGATAGCCATTGCCGAAGCATGGTCTGCGGGTGGGTCGTCTGTCTTCCAATTCAGAACAATCTCCATGGCTCCCTTATCCTGGTCATCATTGGGATGCAGGCCCAGTGAATCGTTAAAAGATACATTTGAGCCACATAGTGGCGACAACAAGTGTGCCCAGTCTTCTTCCATGCTTTCAACCTTACCAATGAAGTCGTATGGTACCGCACAGCCACGAATAGGAGTGAAGCACTCCATCTGGGTTCCTTAGCTGCAAAACTCACCTGGGTAGGAAATTTCAGGGTGTTACTACCCCCGAAGAAGCAAAGTGGCCCTGTGCAGCTGCTAAGGTTCTTAGATGTCCATCTTGGTGGATCCCGTCTTTGAGATACTGACGGAAGAACTCTGCAGCCCTCTCCGAACTTCCAGCAGGATATGCGCTCAGAGCTTCCGCGAGCGCGTCGTACTCCGTGAGGCCTTCCCGGATCCTGAATTCAATTTCCTCGGCTTCCAGTCCTAGATTAACAGAGAAATACGCTGCGAGCGCTTGTCACGGCTTCTTCTATGGCCGCAGGGAACTTCTGAGCCCTAAAACCCTAGAACCGGGACCAGAAAGCGCAAAGCATGTAGAATAACAGCCTCTTTGGCTCTCGCTATGGTTTCTGAGCCATTATTTTACGTACTTCTGGGGGCTCACGTACCCTAAGCCCCCAAACTGGATCAAGAGACAAGCTGCAGGATTAGGGTACATTCAATACTCACAAGCAGTTCTACTCAGCTTTCGCCTTCCCTTATGCCGCCTAAACCCTCAACCCCGAAACCCTAATCCCCCGTATCTATCCCCAGGTTCCTCAAAGGGGCACGCCCCTTTTGCGACCCTGAAGTTTCGGGGTAGTCCCCACATCTTCCTGAGATTCTGAGAGCCCTCATTTTTTTGAGTTTTACAAAGGTAACTGAACACCTAAAGTATGTAAAATAATGGTCCTTTGGGCTGTTTTTTGGAGTCCAAGTACCTAATAATCATATACTTTCTCAAAACCTGTACTATAATTAATTACTATTACCCAAATCCAAAGTACCTAATTTTTGGGCACATGGACCCTCTTGGTTCCATTTCAGCTTCAAGGTTCAGCATATGCAGAAATGTATCTGGAAATTGGCTCTCGGACGTAGGTGAAAGCCTTCTTCTTCGACGTGGCTTCGTGAAACCTGAGTTGTTAGCCTTAGGGTCCAGGCCCTAAAGCCCTAAAACCTCCTAAACCCTAAAACCCTAGAACCCTAGAACCCAGAGGCTTCCTTTTAGAGGAAAGAAAGGGTCAAGCACCAAGTCTGGAGGCTGCCGGGTTTCTTGAGCCGATGTCTCTTTGTTCACTTCAAAGTTCGATTTTATATGAGATGGCTGTGCTGGGCGGGTGGGGCACTGCCGTGCTTACACAAAGGTTCTGCTTCCTTGCACTTGGTGGAGGGCACGCAGAAAAAGAATGAGGCTTGAAAGAACCGAGGAAGCTGAAACCATAAACCCTAAACCCTGAAACTTAAAACCTTAAATCCTGAACCTTAAACCCTGAACCCTTAAACTCTAAACTACACTAAAACTTAAAACCCTAAACCTTAAACTCTAAACTCTAAACCCTAAACCCTGAACTCTAGATTCTAAACTCTAAACCTTAAACCCTAAACTCACACCCAAAACCCATGCCTTGAACCCAGCACCTGGCCATCAAGTAGCGCACATGAGATGGGCAAGGAATGACTTTCAGCATAGGACCTGCCCTTGTCCCTAAAGGTCCAAGGACCCAAATATTAGGGTCCCTTTAAAGGGGGTTATAGCAGGATATATAGGGATATTCGGGGACTGTAAAGGGGTATATAGGACCCAAATAATAGGGTTCACAATTTCTATGAACAACGAAGTCCACACTCCTCCCTCGCTTCAGGGTTTCGGGCCTCAGGGGTTAGGGTGTAGAGGTTTAGGGTTCAGGGAGAGCGTGGAGCCTCAGAACTGGAAATGAAATAAAGTTGATGTAGGCCTGGCAAATCGTTGGGTTTTTTCTCTTGTTCTCACTAGCTTGATGTATCTGGGGTGTCAGGTGTTCTTGGTGCACCATCTTTTCAGGATGTATCCTCACTGCTCTTGCAAGCCATCTCGAGCGTGTTGCCCATAGGTAGTTTAGCCTCCATAGCCAGACTCCCATGAAAGAATGGGATTGTGGGGGGGGCTGCGCCTAGACCCAAAACCGCAAAAGAGGTCCCAATAAATCGGAATAGAACTACTGTATAAAACAGGTCACACACCTCTGCGTTGGCCTGTTCGCGCATTCCGAACAAACACGTAACTCCGATTCCGAGGTCACATGTTACTGGGGTTTAGAGCGGTCCAGAACCAGGTGAGCTTGAGCTCCAAAGAGGGACTACACACATATATATATATACACACATAAACATAGATAAAGGTATATAGGGGCATTTAGGGGATAATGGAAAAGAAAATGGAAGCTACCGGCATGAACTTGAATTGGCAAGATTTTGACTTTTAGCGTTCAGCACAGTTTAGGGGTTCAGGATTTGGCGGGGGCACTTGTGAATTTCCTGTGCTTCAGTGGGAAGTGGGAAATGTCAGATAGAGTCCTTAAATCCCTAAACCCTAACCCGAGGGATCCAAATAGCCCAATGTAGGCAATATTTACAGACTCTAGGGACCAATGTAGGGATTATTTGTATACATGGATCCCTATGGTAAACTCTAAACTCTAAACCTCCATAAAAGGCCTTAATTCCTCTGGTCCCAGTGATGAAGGCTCTGAGATCATGACAAGGCAAATGCCCGCTGAACCCCATAAATCCTAAACCGCAAGGACACTGAAGCAAGCCTCCCGAAACAGAACCGCATCCCCCAACAGTACCGCAACCGAACATTGAGCATGACCTGGACCTGCAAATGAGGAAGATCATGTCCCCAAAACCATAGTGTGAGCTAAAAAAGCCATTGTTCTACATAGCTTGGGGCTCAAGCTTTATGATCCCCACTATCACCACCTGGTCGACGACGACTATTTCGGAGTCGCGGAGCTTTTCGCAAAAGGGCGTGTAGGTTGTCTGCTCAAAATGAGAGCTGATCGCCTGTCCACAGTGGCTTCAACATGTCTATGAGAGGTTATGTGGGATCCTATACTGTGGGGGCTATACTATTCAGATCACTATACAGTGTAGATTGGCCTGAGGTGTGGGTGCAGCACCCTCTGATGCAGAAAGGGTTGTGAGTGGCGTTGGTCGCATCAACCAGACAGGCTTTGCTGGTTAGGGGTTTAGGGTTTATAGGGTTTAGGAACAATCCTCGCAGTAGGGGCGAACCCTTGCGCCCGACATGTTGGGGCTTTCTTGGAGCCTCAAGGTTCTCGAAAACGCTATGGCCGGCAGCCTTCCAAACGTGCCGATAGAACCTTGATGCTTGCAAGGTTGGAAGGGCTTAGGGTGTTGGAGTCTGGGAGATCTCTGGGAACCCGAGCAAGATAGAAGGAAAAACTAAGTTCGAGGAGCCCGGAGCAATGCCTTGTACGTTTGAGGTATCCCAGCCCATCGGAAGTTACACCGGCCCATCTCCAAGCACTCTTAAAGTCTTCAAGTGTAAATAGCTAGTGGTCGATACATGACCTCAGATTGCCTGCTTGATCTAAGCCTCGCCTGTTGCCCGTACACCCAAGCGCTACGTATCAGACAGAAGGTACCTTCTCAAAATCAGCGGGCGGTCTGAAACAGGAGCCCAGGGCTCTAAGCTTGGGAAGAGTTTGCTGTTCCTTTGGTCTTGGCGTGTAAGGTTTGGGAAGACTTCAAACCGTAAGATCTCCCAGTGGGCAGTTTCCAAAAAGGGGTCTTACGCGTCCACGACCACTCTCTCTTCTCAACCCACAGTCACAACCAAATTTCGCAATCTCTTTCCTCACTTGAAGGGATCGCAGTAAACAAAAACACAAATTCAAAGTGCACCTTCAGGGTTTACGGTTTACCTGTAACCCCAATCCCCTACAGTTTTATGGCTTATACCTACTTATTAAGGGGTAATTCCCTTTCAACTGTAGGAACTTGGGGTTACAGGTAGGGTTTAGGGTTTAGGCTCTGGCATGGCCGTTGTGGAGTTCGAGCTGAGCAGTGCATATGTTTTAGGGGTTTAGGGTTTAGGGGTTTAGGGTTTTGGGTTTTGGGTTTAGGGTTTAAGGTTTTGGGTTTAGGGTTTTTCTTCAAGCTGAGAAGACGCAAGTGGTGTAAGTCTAGGCTACGTCTCAGCCGACATGTATTTGTTAGTTTAAAGCTAAAATGACTCGAGGACTTATGTTCCGCCTTAAGTAGATAGAATATGGGGTATATGGGGATCTTATTTGATATATATATATATATCCAAAACCATATTCTATCCACTCAAGGGGGCTATACTATGTTATTTGTGTAAGTGGCTGGACTTGCTCATCCAATATTATAGGACATGAAAGTAAGGGTCGCGACATGCCGACTGTTTGCCTCTCAGTTGACGGTTAGTTGCGACGTCGTCAAAAGAACCAGATCAGTGGACTACGGGCGTTTTGCTCGATATCAAACTGTACCATTCTCCCTGGAACTAGCCCTTCTAGATTCTTGAAGAAACACAAGACGCTCAGGAACAGCCGGGTTGTTTTTGCTGGCTGCTTCGCTTAGGCTGCCGTTTGCATGCATGAGGTGCTTCTGTATAAAGATTTGTCCTACAGTACGCAGATCGCGAAGGCTACAGTGATCCTGCCAAGAGCCTAAAGTTTGACGACTCAACTGGCCAAAGAGCATTGAAGTCCCGCTTGAGCAGACTGACTCTCCGATGACCTGTTCACCTGAACAGCTTCAGGGATTAGCGTTACGATCGCTAGGGTTGCTGCTGCCACTTCAGGAAAGAGGGCTACGATCGTTATTGTTATTGGCACCGCTTCCACGTCTACAGCTACGGTCATGGCTTCGGCTGCTGCAATTGTTACTGCTGCCGAATCGGCATGCGCCCCCTTGGACTTGGTGAGCGGGGTTGGAGGGGGGGGGGGATGGTGGGTGACAATCCGCCACCGCCACCGTCACCGCCACCGCCACCGTCACCGCCACCGCCACCCACCCCACCACCATCACCACCACCGCGGCCGCCGCCGCGGCCGCCGCCGACGCCACCACCACCGCCGCCAACCACCACCGCCACCACCACCACCACCACCACCACCACCACCACCACCACCACCACCACCACCACCACCACCACCACCACCAACCAGCAGTGCCAGTACCATTAACACTGCTTCTACTAATCACTGAACGCAGCCTGTTGAATTCTTCAAAAAAATGAGCATGCAACCTATGCCTTAAGCTCACATCTCCATAAAGCGCTTGTAAGGTAAGAAAGAATGAGTTTCTCGAAATGGCAGAGAAACCCACGACAACTAGCTGACTTTCTGGTAATACTACATGTATGGACTTCTGGTTTCAGAGAATGACTTGCAAATGCCGCCCTGGTCACTATCCAAAGAGGCAGGAAGAAAGGCGTCACCCGTGCAATCCTGGAGGATGTGATTTTTTAAGGGTCCAAGGACCCAAATACTTGGGCTTTAGGGCCCTGTTGTTTGGGTCCTTGGACCCTTAGGGATTGAATGTGGGGCCTTACTCAGACAATGGTTGCGGGATAATCGTTGCTACAAATGTTCAAGGGCAGACTTGTTGGGGCAGGGTGCTCCGAATTTCTGCCTGGCACCATGCAACCAATAGAGGAATGGACTTTGGGACGATTACGGAGAAATGTGTGCATATGTATATATATATATAGATATGTGTATATATAGATATAGAGCAGTTTCCATTATAAATAGGGAGACCCCAGTATACACCCCCAAATACAATCATCCTTATTCCAAGAGCCGCCAGAAAGGTATCCCTCGTTTTGGGAAACCCCAAACCCTAAACCTGAAATAGTAGTTTCCATTTTCTTTTCCATCATCCCAAGCTGTCCCCTTTATGATTCCAATATGCCCTTTACAGTTATGGGCTACTGCACTGGGACTGCAGTGGCGGTTCCGGGTTTAGGGTGTGGGGGTTAAGGCTTAAGGGTTTTCAGCGTCTAGGCGCATGTTGCAGGTCCCTCAGAGTCTGGTTGGTTGAGCAAATCGGTAGGTTGTCAAAACTGTTATCCTTGTGGGGGTTCCTTGTGCCATACGGCCCCTAATATTTTAGGATCCCCCAAGAAGAAGGAGCGTACATTTTGCGGTGTATGGTACGGGGCCCGCTATTGAATGAACTGGCCACGTGAAAGCTACTCAACGTATAGTGCCCGTACCGAGCCTAACATGCTGAAAGAGAAAACGTGGCACCGCTAGTAAAGTGAATATCATATGGGAAAGCCGCGCAACCCTAGTCTATGATATGCTAACACACACACACACAGTCTCCCGAAAAGCATTAGAACGAAACCTACATATAGATATTGTTTGCAACCCTCTCTCTTTCGCGACAGTAACCCTACTTCCTGTATCTAGCTCCAGCAGGTACAGCTTGGTACTACAGAAGGCATTGATTGGCGTTCCTTGTAGCCTAAACTCAAAACCTTAAATCCTATACCGCCTTTCTCGGGACAGCCCTGAAGCGCAGTCCCATCCGAGCGTCAGTCAATGCCTGCACCTGCGGCCACACTTTGTGTCGGATGTCCGTCAGCGTTGGCAAGCAGCTCTCAGTGGATCCAAGGCATTCCTCTCCTGCTTAAATCCTAAGCCCTAAGCCAAAAACTCCAAAACCCCCAAACCCTTAAAACTCAAACCCTTAACCCCAAACCCTACAAAATTCTGAAATCCTAAACCTTAAACCCCTCAAACCCTTAACCCTTAAGTCATAGAGGGCTTGGGCAACCAGATCCAGAGACGGAGGCTTATGCAGTACTGCTGCCTTCGTGGTTTTAGGGGCCGCGAGTTCAAGAAGTAGAGATGGGTTTAGGGTTTAGGGTTTGGGAATTAGTTAACCAGCCAACTTGAAAACCCCCACCCCCGGCAAAAGCAGTTTAAAGAGTGATTGCAAACAGTTCTCGGCCCCCCTGATCGAGCCAGGCAAAATGGTTGCCCGAACCTGGTGAGAAAAAAACTAGAGGCTTTTTATAAAACACCGAAAAATGATTCTATGAAATCAATTCGTGGTCCTATTTCCTCAACCAGCGAGATTTACCCAAAACCGAGAGGATTTCAAAGAGATGCGAATTCAGAGGCTCCTCAATCCAAAATCTACGCATCACCGGAAAAATTTGAGGTATCCAGTTGGGGGCGGCGGGTACAAATTGGCTGGTGATTGGTGATTAGTGATGTTCCTGAAGTAGAAGATGGATTATCGCAAATACCAGCTAAAGATTGCGTGTTTAGAGTTCCGCAACTTGTTGACTCCAGTTTAAAAGGTGACTGCGCAACGAGCTGATGACTGACAGCCGAAATCGCCAAACGCTAACGTGTGAGCTCAATTTGAGCCTCAGGTGTGTATAGCGCTTGTTGGGACCACGAACGTTGGTGGGAGAGGGCAACGAATGCAAACTTAACAGTCCTCCCCACACACAAGCCATCATCCGATATCCTGCCCGGCGCATAATCTGAATCTTGATGAACATGTTTCTATTTTCTATACCCTGATTTCCGCAGAAAGTGCTGAAATCGTCATCAATATGTGCTTCCAGGCTGCAACCCGCCTAGACCCTTGTAAGAAAACATAATGAAAGGTATAAGGTCAAGTCCCTTTTCTACAGGGTGCATTGCTTTCTCTAGGTACACCCTGAAGTCCTGAACCAAAAACCCGTGTGCCCTAAAGCCCTAAATCATGTCCTGCACGTACGAGCAGCAAAGCAATCTCCTGTGCGAGTGCTGCCTCTGAGGATGATAAGCCTCTCAGCTAGGGTTTAGGGTTTAGTATTAACCCAATATAACCCTAAACCCTGAACCTTATGTAACCCTATTGTAGTACTTTCCATGTTCTTTTCCATTATTCCATGGGTTTAGGGTCTAGTGTTTAGATTTTAGGGTTCAGGGTTTAGCTTAGGCCTTGTGTTTGGATTTCTTCAAAGGTGGTCCCCTTGGGGGATTGTAGGAACCAGGGTTACCTCTGGAGGGTGTGAGGCGTGTATAGCATATACTTCAAGAGACGGACCACATAGGAGTTTGCCTACCATTTCCGGAATAGCTCTTGGGTCTTCTATCTGTGGAGGCTGCCATGGGTCATGTGGTCATGTGGTTACCATCTCTGTTGCCTTTTGCTCTACATCCTTCCCAAAATATGCCTCCAAACCTGAGCAGTCAGCCTCAAAACCCTGAACGTAGCCAACTTATCCACCAGTGTCTTGCTCAGGAACTGGTTGCGTTGCTCACGGATAACGATTGGTCTGCAGTGGAATTCTTCAGGTTCACAGTTTGCCGTTCCAACTGAAGCTCCAGCTGAAGCTGAAGGAAGAAGTCATCAGCCGGGCAGTAATCATCCGTCTTCACGTCTTGTAGCCTGATACATATTGCGGCTAGCATCAGAAGTCCTAAGTCCTAAGTTCGTACATCCTACAAGGACTTCGGATGATGGATCATGCAAAAGCTTACGAAACAAGGACCCAAAAGCATCATCAAGAAATACGGGAGCCATCGCCACATGAAGAGGAGGTTCGGTTTTTGCATGCATCACATTTTCTGAGCCAAGGTTGCACCACGCGGGAGTTGAAGTTTACCCTAGGGATCCAAATACCCCAATGTAGGTAATATTTTCAGACTTTAGGACCAATGTAGGGATTATTTGGATACATGGATTCCTAGGGTTAGGGTTTTGGGTTTAGTGTTTACCCCACAGATAGATTGTAGAAAACGTCCCCCTCAAGAATTGCGTGGGGATTTCTTGCTGAACTCTCCGATTCCCGCTGCAAATGACATAGCACCAGCGCTCCAGCAAGGACCTTGCGGTCCTTGAAACTTCCTGCCTCCCTTGTATAGGGTTTAGGGTTTAGGGTAGTTCCCACCTCCTCCCCGAATGGAACGCCCACACCCTTTGATATTCCAAGTCCCCTCCACCCCGACAAACTGATGAGGTTGGGATATACTGAACATAAATAGACACCCCCACGAAATGCCAGCATGAATGGGGCCTGCGCGAGAGAGGACCACATTTTAACTTCAGGGCCCTTGTTCAAGCCAATATGGTTGCTTCTTGTGATCCGGGTTGCCCTGTCTCTCGGGACATGTAGCATCAGTCGAGATAGAATATACGCAACGACCACAGAGAACCTACATGTCTGCAGGCCCTACATCTTTCGCAGAGACTTGTTGCTCATCACGCAGACATATAGTCCACCTTAAGTAGATAGAATATGGGGTATGTGGGGATCTTATTTAGAAAATACCCAAAGCCATATTCTATCTACTTTAGGAGGACTATAGATCTCTACGGGGCAGGCCCACGAGCCCATGCATCTTGCTTCCTCCTGGTTGCTTCTTGAACAGAGGGTAAGTGACTGTTGACCGTGTGGAAATATTACGGTAGCCAGTTTCTGTTCTGCTCGAGATCTTACTACCCGCTAATAAGTCAGTACATCTTTCATCTGCAAGACCGCGAGCCGAAGCAACTGAAGAGGTGTCATGGCCCCGATCCACCAGTTGATCAATGTGTCTGTCGTACATAACAACTAGGCACATATGGGAGGTGGGGCGCCTCCGTTTCCGTCACTTGCAAAGGAAATCTCTTGACATCCAATACAATCACTATGACAGCTATCCATAGCTGAACCCCTAAAGTATGTAACATAATGGTCCTTTGGCTGGTTTGAAGATTTTCGGGCCATTTTTTACCTATGTGAGGGGTTTAGGTATTCCCCACAAGGTGATTCCTCCTTCCGAACCCCCAAACCCAAACCCTAAATGTTCCTGCTGACCAGCGACTAAAATTTGACTAAAAGTCAAAGTAACAAGAAACTCTCAGGAAAGCCAAACCTTATCATGGGATAGGAATTTCGGGTGCGCGTGTACTTACAGTATGTGAAAACCCTCAACTGCAGGAGCTTACAGCCTCAACCTTCAATCCTAAACTCCAAGCCCTGTCCCCTCAATCAAGGTTTCCAAAAATGGGAAGCCCAAAAAAATAGACAGCAAAATACTGTGGGCCCTTTTTTTTGGAAAACCCCCAACTTGGGCTGCCCTAACTTGCTGACACTTGGGGCTCAGGATTCATTATAGCTTGGGCTTAGGGTTGAGGATTTGGAGTTCGCATCAGGTCTTTGAAGTGTGTACGGCCCTTTTCTTAGCTCCGCAGTAGGGGTCTCCAAGCCCATTGTAACCTCAGAAGCTAACAGTTTCTGACTGTATGTTCGTTCGTTCCGTAAGATCAGGGCCACGCCGTGATTTGCGAGACTCTTCACACAAGAGCTCATGCAAAGGAACCTTCCCAATTGGGCATTTCTCCAGACAACCCTACGTACGGTGTATGAAAAGTCCCAAATACGGACCCCCATAAGCCCCGTAAAATCCATGCAAATCCCTTAAGGTCCCTAGGGGCCCACTTTCTGAGAAACTGCCGATTTTGGGAAGCATCCGCCGGCACGCGATCAAGGCATGCCACCACCCATCCCAGCCTTCTTCATAACCTCACCAAAACTGACATGGGACCCAAAAAGGAGCCCTACGCAAAGTGCTGTCCCTTTGGAAAAGTGGTTGCGTGCACTATTTTTTCACGCCTACCTGAACCCCGATAGCAGGTAGAATGATGGTCCTTGGGCTATTTTTAGATGTTTTGGGCCATGATTTTGCCTACTTTGCGGGTTTAGGTAATCTCGTCAACCGAAGCCTGAGCATGGGTGGCATCCCTTACGAGGGAGCTGCAGCGTTTCGTGCGTGGGCTGCAGCATTGAAACGTCTGATCCTAACGCTAAAGATGAGGCCGTGCGAAATGAAGGTGAAGGTGATTGCTTCTACACATAAATGTAAACCACTTGCAATCCGCATATTACAGGAGGGTCAGCAAAATGCAATACCCTGCTAGCAGCAGCAGTTCTACTACGAGTGATAGCCGCGTGAAGGGGAGTGTCCGCCAACAATCAACATTGAACATGGTACTATGTGCCAGAACCGAGGAACACCAGGATCCTGATCCTAGGAACTCCTGAAAGAGGGCCAGTTAATTTGGCTTGGCACGCGCCTCAATCAATGATACATGCACCTACGTAAATATATGTGTGTATAAGATAAATATGGTAGTTTCCAGAAAAGATAACTCGGGACCCGAACATAGACCCACAAAGTATTCGATCCTTATTATGGGGAGCCCCGAGCCGGTTACCCCAACTTGTGGGAAATCCCCATTCAGAACAGTGACCATGGCTCTATGAGCTACGGACTATATATCTAGGTTTGGGGGGACCTATAGGGGCTATAGAGGGGGATTTAGGGGAACCCCTAAACCCTAAACCCTAAACCCTAAACCCTAAAACCCTAAACCCTAAAACCCTAAAACCCTAAACCCTAAAACCCTAAAACCCTAAAACCCTCAACCTATTTAAAGGATATACTGCAACTTTAGTCCAGGGCTCCTATCAAAAGTTTTGGCTCCTGTCAGGCGCTTGCGTTCTGGCCAGCTCCTTCCGAAGGGCACTGTTGGTCGCTCAACACTTAAAAAAGAGCCAAAGTGTAGGTTCCCGGGCTTGGGGTTTAGGGTTTAGGGTTTCAGGCGTAGGGTTTGGGGTTTAGGGCAAACTGTAGAATAATGGCCCTTTCTGGCTAATTAATCGGGTTTGAGCCACTAGTTAGTCACTAGTTCAAAGCCCGAACCCCTGAGTCACACAACCCATACACGGCCAGGTCCCAAACCCCAAAGCCCTGATGCATGAGCTTTTAAGTTACGCTGCGTGTAAACGCCAAGGCTGAAACTTAATTTGATCGTGGTTTGCAGGAGCTACAGGACGTGTTCTTCATTGTTACTGAGTTGCGACTCCAGATTCCGCTCCTGCTTGAAAGCTACCATCGTGCTGTTTAGGAGGCCGTGCTGGCAGCCAGGTGGCAGGTCGTACCTCAACTGTCCCGGGGTTAGTAATTAATTGAGTTTCCAGACCAAAACACTTCAGGGTGTGACGTTTAGCCTCTTCTAGCGGTTGTTGCTGTAAAGGTCGCAGCTGTATGCTATACCTGGCGCGGAGAACCGGGATGTCTTTTGTTGTTAGCGCTGGCTGCTTTAAAGTTTGGAAAGCTATTGTTCCTACTGGCAGCGGTCCAAGCACAGAAAACTCTAGTGCAAGGCTTTAGCCAGGTACTCCAGCGTCGCAAAATCGACCAGCAACAGCCAGCACAGCGCTTTCAAGTATGTGCCCTGCTCCTGCAACAACAAGGTAGCCATCGCCGAAGCATGCCCTGCAGGTGGGTTGTCCGTCTTCCCACTCAGCACAATATCCATGGCTTTCTTATCCTGATCATCATTGGGATGCAGGCCCAGCGAATCGTTAAGGGATCTATTTGAACCACACATTGGCAAGATCAAGCGCTTCCAGTCTTGATCCATGCTTTCAACCTTACCAATGAAGTCGTATGGTACGCCACATCCACCAATGGGAGTGAAGGACTCCAACTGAGTTCCTTAGCGGAAAAACTCACCTGCGTAGGAGTTGCAGGACGTTACTACACCCAAACAACAAAAGTGAGCCTGTGCAGCTGCCAAGGTTCTTAGATGTCCATCTTGGTTGATGCCGTTTTTGAGATACTGACGGAAGAACTCTGCAGCCCTCTTCGAACTTCCAGCAGGATATGCGCTCAGAGATTGATTGAGCACCCTGTACTCATTGTTGCCCTGGCGGACCCTGGTTTCAATTTCCTAGGTTCTCTCTTATAGGTTTAGGGTTTAAGGTTTGAGGCTGCAAACGCTTATCAGGTCTGCCGCTTTCGCCACAGGGCCTTCTTGAACCCGAAAATCCTAAACCCCCAACTTAAGCCTGGAGGCTAGGTACATAGAATGCCATAAGCAATTCTACTGAAGTCCTGGCTTTACTTATGATCCCCTTCCTATCCCTGGGTGTCCTTAGGGGCTCACTTTGTTGTGTCAAGAAACTTGGGCAAAAAAAACGGTTCTATCTCAACTCTAAACTTCAGCATATGCAGAAAGGAACTTGGAGATTGGCTCCCGGACGAATGTGAAAGCTTTGGTCTTCTTCTTGAACATGGGGGCAAAAGCGAACCTGAGTTGATAGTTTTGGGGTTAAAGGTCTAGTGGGCGCTTTTGCACCAGGTCTTCGTGGTTCATGGGCACTTTATTAACATGAAGGACAAACGATTTCTGAGAAAACCCTAAACCCTGAACCCTATAACCCTGAACCCTAAACCGAGTGAGCAAGGCGAACGCACCCAAGCCGGCAGGCGAGGTAGCCAAAACCTTTCCAGCTCGCGACGGAGCAAAGCTTGAACCACGGAGGCCTGTTTAGACGCACCTGGGAGGGCACGGCCATGCAAGGCCCCGGGATGCCCTAGGAGAGGGCCTGAAGCCAG